GCCACAACTGATCTTTAGAAATGTACTATGAGAATACAGTAGCCAGTGGAGTTATTCTTAGCCTGGTATAAAACCTTGTGCCCAATCCCACTTAGTAATCATCCATCTAGTGTGTTGTATATTTTCCAGTCTTCAAAGGTAACTCCATTGCAGCTGAATAAAACAAACATCATCCATACATGGGTACCTGCTTAAAATTGTACATTTGTAACTTAGATATGGTGAACTAATACTCAGACTGGATTAAAATCAAATATGGAATGGGGTATGCATCTTTGAATTTCTAAATTCCAGATTTATAATTATGTCTGAAGTGGGTTTTGGTAGATCTCATCTAAATCTCCTGGATTTAGAAGTGAGTTTTGTACATTACAGGAATATACCAAGGAAGTATAGGCTCATTTAAAAATCAAGAATTTCACGTATTATATAGCTAACCTTTCTTCTGTTGTCATAAATATTGTATGTTCTGTCTGGGAACCTGACAATAATTACTTTAAAGACTTGTGAAGAAATTGTTTTCTCCTCCCATCTCCTCTTCCTCTCTCTTAAATCATACTTCTATTGAGGAAATCAAAAGAACTGGCTGTATAGCTGCCTAAAATTGATGTGTGAAATTTCCTTTGTGCAAGGTTGTTGGAGACTAACTAGTGCCTTTATCTCTCTTTGAGGGCAGAATCAGATGTAGCATGGGGAATGTATGGTTAACTTGTCCTTCAGTGTTCTTGAGTTATGTAAATGGTTTTCCCCTACATTGTAGAGGGTTGGACTAGATTACAGTGTTTCTCAACCTTGACAATTTTAAGGCATGTGGGAGTTGAAGTCCACATGCCTTAAAATTGTCAAGGTTGAGAAACACTGGACTAGAAGATACTTGTGATCCCCTCCAACTCCACAGTTGTATGCTTTTCTTCACATACATGCTTTACGAAACTTAAAGCAAATTCTGATATTGTTTAAAATAGTTAACATTAGGAAAGAGAAGGATCAATCATTGCTTCTACATGCAGACTCTTTCTCCCCTTCGTACATATGAAACCGTGTGAAGCCTCGCAGCAGGAAGAAGATAAGTATCTTCATCAGATCTTCAAGGTTGATATCAGCTTTAGGGTGAGCCAGATAATAAAATGACCAGTGAGGCAGATGAATTCATCTTTTTTTAGATTCAGCCTCTGATTAAAATTGGAGCCCTACATTACCTATGAATGTTATAAAGTGATAATTGACGGGGGAAATAAAACATTCTAATGATGGATTTCCTATTTTGATGATTATTTTAATTCTGGGACAAGGCTAAGTTGGTTTATAAATCTCTGAATGGTTGTTCAAATCTTGACAGCTCAACCCTTTCAAAATTGTTTAACCAGTACATTTGTATCTTCATCCCATGCTGTCATTAAGGATTACGTCTCTGAATTTATCAGAAAGCAGTAGACTGGATCTTATTTCTTTCACAGTTCCCATGCGGTCTGCAGGCTATCTTGTTAAAAAAGAAGAACCAAACGATCCTGTCTCTGCATATTCTGTAAACTCTATTTACACAGTTATTAAAACCAAGTTCGATAGTCTCTGTAATGAATTGAACTCATTCACATTTGGAATTTCACCAGAGCTGTTTTTACTTTGTGACTTTTATCTTTACCAAACCAAAACAATCAGTTTCAAAAAGCTCATTTCCTGCAAGTTCAATGCCTGTAAATTGATAAGAGAGAGCACAGGAGAAATTTTTCACTCTGTTCTTCATCCTGGAAAACTTCAGAGCAACACAGGGAAGCTAAGAATAGGCCAGCAGCAAAGTTTGTAAAGTCTGCAATTTTTTGTTTTGTTTTTTTTAAAGTGCTGATATAAGATTGAGGGAAGTTTGCGGTTGTTCTGCATGCTGATGTACTGTATGTGGGTGGTGTTTTTTCCCCTGCATGCCTCTATAACCCAGCAAAACCTATCAGTAGACGTGTGAGGCACAGAGGAGAAAAACCTGGACAAGTACTGTATATAGTAGCTTTTGGAGCTGTTTTTTCCTGGTAGTTTTTCATTATCAGGGATTTTCTCTTGCTCATCAGTGAGGCTTTGCTATGAGAAAGAAGAGAGTGCTGGAACCAGATAAGCTCTGTAAGGTATGGCGTAAAGGTTGTATGGCTTGCATATTCCAACCAGTTGTTCCTAGAGAAGAGTTGTCATAAATAGGCGTTTCTGGACTATCAACACAATTTGGTTTTCTTATTATCCAAAATCTAGTATTTTTTTATATTAAATGGAACCTCGCCACTTAACAAGTGCTAAAGATACAACGTAAGTTCAAGTTTACCCTGCATGAATATTGAAAGAAAAAAACCTATTATAACTATATAAAGTAGTGGTGACTATGCAGTAACAGACAAAGAATATATACAGGAAGTATATGTATAAATATTATTTTTATTAATTGAAACAGTAATTTGAAGGTTATGGTAGAAGCTAGGAAAGACAGTGGGGCTGGGTAGCTGGCTGGGGTCACCAATAGGTCCTTGAAGCTGTATCTTAGACCAACTAAGCCAGCTAATTGCTTTCTGAGCACCAATAGTAAAGGAACAAAAAAAAATTCCAAACTGCAGTGGTTTGTGTAATGTGAACTTAGACCAGGATCTTAAGATAAAGTGCTTCAGTATATAAAAACAGCAGCACATGCTTAATGGATATTGCTACTGATGTTCAAAACTGGAGAAGAGGGATTATCTCCCACCAAAAAAACCACCTTTTTGGGGGGGGAGAGGTTTGATACTTCTGTTCTAGACATATTGAAATACAAATAATATTTTGCTCTTGGGTGATGTTTTTTTTAATCTGTCATAATTTGTGCCCTGAGATCTGACAGCACCTGTATGCTTGTTTAAACAGATAGATATATAATTGCATGGTTAAGAAAAACAAGGTCAGTCTCCTTCATTGTAATCTTTAGGAAGTGTCCTTCAGCCCCTTACTGTTGAGGCTTGTTTTGATTTGATTTTAACAAACATCTCAGTTGCCATGTTTGTAGAAGGTGAAGTGATAATGCTCTTTCATTTCTTATGCTGACAATCTATATACTATTAAAACTCTTGTTGTCATGACTTTAACTGTGTGAAATGGTGCATCCTAGGACAACATTTTTTTGAACCAAGGTACCTCAAATGAGCTAACTTATGGAATGCATCCAAAATCTGGGACCGATGACTCTTGAGGGAGTGATATTTGGGGAAATTCTGGTTCTTTCAGTATTACTGGCTGCTGCTGCACTTCTGGGTTGCTGCTGCGATCACGTGATCTTCATTTTCAACGTTTGGCAACAGTTTCCCAGGCAGTCTTGCAATCCCTTGGTCCTTCCCCCACCCAAGGGAAGGGAAGGAGAGATTTCTGATGCTATGATGAATTTCACAAGGAAATTCAATGAGGAAGCTGGCAGGAAATCACTTCTGCGCCCCCTACTTTTTTTGTCCTTGGTGATTCTCTTTCTCTGTTTAGATAAGGAAATACTTCTGAAACAATGATCAATGGGGAACAGATTATATAGTTATTTATAACAGTTACAGATCTGTCATATGTGCATATGGATGTATGAAATGTATTATATAACTTGTGACGTAGAAATTAAGTAGTCATTGAAGTTACGTTTCCATTGGGCCAATTTTCTAATCAAGTGCAAGTTAGTATTCATCAGTTACAGATTCCTTGAACCTCAGATTCAAAAAACTTCGTAAAGTGAGGATCAAAACCTAGTCTGTGCACAAAAGTCCAGTTCTGCTAATAATGAATTAGAAGTATTTTGTGTCACCAAGAGTGGCTAATGCAGGTCTTTATATGCTCCCCACAACTTATACTTTCATGATTTTTAAAAGGTTTTATTGATGGATTCTTTAGGAAGGGTCAGTCCACAGCTTCCTTGAAGGATGTCAAACTCACCCAGAAGTCACCATCCTGGAAGCGTTTACTAACCAGGAGGAACAGGGATAACACTAATAAGCAAGTAGTTGTGCTAACAACCCCAATGACCCTGTCCACTTCCTCAGTTCCAACAGGATCAAACTGCTCTCGGATAACAGCCTGAGTCCATACTTTGGGCATTGGTACAATGTTTGACCTTATTTCCAGATTTATGATGTTCCTTACCTGTGAGCAGTACAAACAATTTCAATTTTAGAAGGCCATAAGTCCAGAGCCCTGAGTTCTAATCTAAAAAAAAAAAATAGGTCAAGATCTTGGGGCAAACGTCATTAATATTTCCAGTGAGAATCATTAGGCCATTCAGGTTTTGGAATCAGAGGCAATGGGCACATATGCCTTTTGCAGGAAATTTGCTATAGCTTTTTGTCTAGCAGTAAAAACTGAAGGGAGTGGAAGCTGATAATCTGAAACTAAAATCACAGCATGTCTTTTAAACCTGAATCTTCCACTAAGTTACTTGCTTGGATTTGCTATGCTAATTGACTCTGTTATATTACCATAATAGGAAATATTCTATGTTTCCCACTTCCAAGATTAAAAGAAAAAAACAAATGAAATCTAGCATTTAAAATTGTTCTTATCTGATGGGACTTGTAGTTATCTCAATTTTAAAAATTCAAAATAGATCAAGAACTTTGATCTAAAACTTTATCAAGAACTTTTGATAGCAAGAACTTTTATATACATTTATTAATTGGGTGATTAAAAAGCCATTTTTAAGATCAGATTATTTGATCATATATACTTTAACAGATATTGTTCCTTTTTTAATTAATTCAACTTTCTCCCAGCTAATTCCCTCAAGAAGTGTTTAAGTTTATCATTCTCCGCATTTCCAGGCAACAAAGAAATTCTGGATGTTTATATATATTTGAGGGCACTATTGGGGGAAAGTATTGCAATTATTTTCTGTGGCTTCTTACTATTTCTTGCACTATTCTATCAAATCACTTTAATGTTTGTTCCAAAAAAAGAAAAATATTCCTCAAAACTTTACTCATGTTTTTCTGTGTTCTTTCCTCTCTTCCTGCCTCCTACAACAGTTGGACAAGGGGGATGTGAGCCAACTCAGCCTGCCTTCCAATACAAGCCACAGTGATGCAGAAAGCAATATCTGTCTTGATGTTCCAGATGGCAACCCTGACCCACAGAGGACAAAAGCTGCCATTGACCATCTGCACCAGAAGATTCTTAAGATCACTGAGCAAATAAAGATTGAGCAGGAGGCTCGAGATGACAATGTAGCTGAATATCTGAAGCTTGCTAATAATGCTGATAAGCAGCAAGCCTCTCGTATTAAGCAGGTCTTTGAGAAGAAGAACCAGAAGTCAGCCCAGACCATTGCCCAGCTGCATAAGAAGCTTGAGCATTACCACAAAAAATTAAAGGAGATTGAACAAAATGGGCCAACGCGTCAGCCCAAAGATGTCTTCCGGGACATGCATCAGGGCCTCAAGGATGTAGGAGCCAATGTTCGATCCAGTATTAGTGGTTTTGGTGGCGGTGTGGTAGAGGGAGTCAAGGGTGGGTTATCAGGCCTTTCTCAAGCAACACACACAGCTGTGGTTTCCAAGCCCCGTGAGTTTGCAAGTTTAATACGCAACAAATTTGGCAGTGCAGATAACATTGCCCACTTAAAGGACACTCTGGATGATGGACACCCAGAAGAGGCCTCACGGACTCTGAGTGGCAGTGCAACCCTCGTGTCCAGTCCCAAATATGGAAGTGATGATGAGTGCTCCAGTGCCACATCTGGCTCAGCAGCTGGTAGCAATTCTGGGGCTGGTCCTGGGGGCTTGGGCAGTCCTAAGTCTACCACCTTGGAGAGTCATCATTATAACTTTGACACCATTGTAGAAGAACTGAGAGATATTAAGGACATTCAATCCCATCTTGAGGACTCCATGGAAGAACTCAAGGCTCAGCTGCAACGAGACTATACATACATGACTCAATGCTTGCAGGAAGAACGATACAGGTAAGGTTTGTTAAATGTCTTCCTATTCCTCACCAAGGGACAAATATTCCTCACTAATTTAAAAAAATGCCCTTAATTGTTCATTTATGGTGACAGAATCACAGCAATGGAGAATAATAAGATGTTGATTCCTGAGCGTGGTACAGCAATTTAGCTGCAGATCTCACTTTACAGAGAACATAGATTATGTATGCATTTAATAAGTAAAATAAGCAACAATCCACATGTCAAAGAAATTAGGGTAAATTTTACGGCAGGAATTATAACTTGCGGCCAGTAATAGCTTAGGGTTTTATCTTCCACCTTATAGAAGATAAATGGGGAGCTTTTTTAGCCAAGAACTGAACTTGCCTTTGGCCGATATATTCAGACCAAAATATGGAGGAGTCAGAACAAAGAGCTATCAAGGGACAGTGATAAACCTAAATTTATTTTACTTAAAACTAATTTAAGATGCAAATAATGCAGCCATTCCCCACGTGTTCTGCTTCATTTTCCCTCTTGTTGTATTAAAATTATAATTTGTATCAACTTTTAGAAACTTTCTGTGAACAAGACTTAGCTTGGGATGGGAGGTAGAATTTTGACCTGTTGGGCAAACCTGTTATAGAGAGATGCATTTTTAAAACTTCTCTTAATTGCCAGTCTGTACTTTTCTAGTATTAAGGACACTTAGATCAGATTACTAGGCTTGGAAGTGAGTCAACAGAACTCATGTATTTATATTAAAGCAGTTTACAGGGTAAGTTTTACAAACAATTGAGCCACAAATGTCCACAGCAGATCACAGAAAACCTTTCATTGCCTAACATAGATGATATAGTAGCCTACTCATAGATAGATAGATAGATAGATAGATAGATAGATAGATAGATAGATAGATAGATAGATAGATAGATATAGAGATAGAGATAGAGATAGAGATATGATACACACACACACACACACACACACACACACACACACACACACCCCTTAGGCAGAAAATCCCAGAAATTCTATTCCACCTCTAGCCTTATAATGAGAATAAGCAGTTATAAATAATTGTTTATTACGTTGCTGGCTCTTCTGTCTAATAGTAGGACCAGCCTTGGAACAGAACAAGTAATAATATAAAGGTATTATTTGGACAAACTTGAAAAGTGAGGCTTACTTCTAACTTAGCGTTCATATGTTTGCAACATTAGCCTCAAAAAAAAAAAAATCTTTTGGTTGAGAAACCCAAACAGGTACATAATATACCAAATTTGACCTTCTATCTAGGCAAATAGAATGTTGCTATGTACATATATGCAGGACTGCATGATTTAGATGAATTTACATCCTATGTATTGCAAACCATTATATATGTTAATTGCTAAAGTAAGTTTTTGAGAAATTATTTCCTATTTGCTCAGAAAATAGATTAGTTGCAAATGAGAAAACTGGTTTAAATCAGTGATTGCAACATACCTTTTTTCCCCCTATTGATTTAAATAAATCCATCCTGCCTAGCTGCTGGTAGCTTTGAAGAGTCTTTTGGAATTTTCTATACAAATTATCTTCAAGAGGAAAGACACCCTATTAATTTATTTTTTTCTATTTATAATACATGAAAGGAAATCCATTCCTGGCTCAGTACTCAATATTGGCTTTTTATCTTCCATGGATGAGAAATTCAGAATCAAGAAGGCTTTTGTTCTGGGCTCTTAGGGTTTTGTCGGTGAAGAAAGAATTATGTATTCAGACTTTGTTGTGGGAAGGAACCAATGAATCTAAATGGTTGAATGCAGTTGCAGAGCTTGAGTTTTTCATGGGTCAATTGGAGTTGGGGAGGGAAAGTTAAGCATTGGTCTTTTATAGTCATCATTCTGGCCCTCCACTATAAACATGACAGGTCTACCTATGAATTATAATGGGTAGATTAATGTAAACATAATGCATTTTGTCAACTGATATATAATGTCCATATATAGGTATTGTAGAATAATGGACTCGTTATCTGCATGCACTCAGGAACTGTACAAAGTTTATGTGATGCTGAGACAGTCAGATAATTGTTCTCATTGGTTATTATTATCAGTTATCAGTTATATTCTGGGTTTTTCCCCTTTAAGCTCTGTTGAAAGCAAACTGGAAAATTTCCCAAAATATTCTGAAAATCAGTTATCAGTAACAGCAGGGATGGAAATAAAAGTCTTTGTTCCCGCAAGCAGACTTCAGAAGAGACATTACTTTCTCCCCCGCTTCATTTGTTTTCCACTCACTTAACATCTGTCCTATCTGAGGAACTAGGAAAGACTTAACATTTCATAGGGGGAAAAAACCCTAGTAAATGTTAAAACATTAGAACTATATTGATTTTTATAAATTTACTCATACTGCTTTTCCATTTATTTATCCTATTTATATATTCCCAGAATAATTTGGATAATAAAATATAAGTATCAAAACAGCCTCAACATCATAAACACAACATAAACCAATAATCAGAATTACAATGTGTTTAAAACCTTAAGAAAATAAAATGGTCTTTACTTAGTACTGAAAAGAAGATGTAGCAGGTTTTAGAGAGAGGAGAGTCAGAGATCAGGAGCTCCGTGCAGTAGGTTTGTGAGAGAGAGTGATTCAAAGTCACCCAATGAGCTGTAAGGATGAGTAGGGACTTAACCTTGTGTGTTGGGCCAACTTAAGCCAGTCTTATGTATTATAGTATACGAGACCCTTGCCTTGGAGAGTGTCTTTCAGTTTTAGTGTCATTACTAAGAAAACAATTCTTTTTTTCTTTTTGTATAGTAGCCACATGTCTCACCTTGTCATATGCAGGAGACCCTTTATTGAAGAATTTATGAAGATTGTAATTTATTTTTTTATTTCCAAATAAGCATGCATAGGATCAAATGTTAAGATGTATAGTTTTAAATTGTTACCACCATCATACCATAAGAGCAATCCTTGAGTGAAGGAGTTGTAGCATAATTAGCTAGCAAGCAAGTAAGCAAAAGGTTTCCCTTTCCCACTTTCAATATTTTGGAGAAAAGGAACTTGAAAATATGAATTAGGAAGCCCATGTTTACAAGTGTTGTATATAATACTAAACAATTATATAACAGTTATAATACTAAACAATTATATAACAATTATAATACTAAACAACTATAACAATTATAGCTCATCAGATATACAGAGATGAGGTATGTTTTTCTATGTGGTGTTAATTTACTCTTGAGTTACCTAACTTAAGCATCTCATTTTCATTTGCTGAAAAGAAATGTGATGCCTATAGTTATTGAGATTTGCTACTTTGAGGGTGATGGGCTGGCTATAGGATTGGGCCAAGAAAGAGTAAAGTAGAAAAAGCACTACTTGAAAAGAAGTAGAAAGGCAATTACTTTAGTCTTGCTACTTGAAAGCCATATTTTCTCTGCTTATGGTTTTGGGATCTACTTTAAAATGAATTCTATCACATTGATAATATCAGTATAGTCAAAATATACTAAATCTACATTATTAAGTAGAGTCTGTAAATGAATACCTCTCCTCGTCTATGTATTCCAGTCCATAATGAGAAATGCTATCATTATTTTTAAGGCCCTTAATGACTAGGAGTTCTTATCTAATAAATCATCTTTTTGTGATCAAAAGTGCCTACTCAACCCAGACAATCAGGGTATGATACCTGGAATTCCTACTTACTGAAGGTGTGTTGGAAAAGAGCCCAAATAATGGGTTCCCTTCCTATGGAACAGTTACCTCATGAAGGGTCATATGGTTTTAAAGACTTGTCCCTTTTCAGAGAGCCTTTCATTATTGATTCTGGAGCAATCAGTGCAAATAGTTACCTCTTGTTTATATGTCATATTAGAATATCTTATTTGGCCAAGTGTGATTAGATACAAGGAATTTGTCTCTGGTGCAGAAGCTTTCGGTGCACATGCAAGCAACAGAGTAATAACAATCATAATAATGATACCAGTAAGAGGAGATAGTAGAGAAGATGAAAAGAATAATAACAATACCACAGTCATAAAAAATGGGTAATTATACTTAGACATGAGACAGTACTGTGTAAATTAGGTCTTCAACAGAGTGATGGTACATGGGAAAAAACAGTCCTTGTGTTGGACCTCGGGTCTTGCGCAACAATGCAGCAGTCAAGGGGTTAGGGACTCTGTGCCCTTCGGCTGAGTTTCTTCTTGTTAAATGGGCCAGAAGCCGCCCCGAAGGGAGAAAGGCTAGCCTAACTTCAGAGTCTAGCCCAGTGGTTCTCAACCTTTATAATGCCGCGACCCCATAATACAGTTCCCCATGTTGTGGTGACCCCCAACCACTTATACATCACTGGGTGCCAGGGGCGTGGCCAAAGAAAAGGGGGAAAAATGGTGGACAGCCTTGTTTGGTGACCCCCGTGAAATGGTCATTCGACCCCAAATGGGGTCCCGACCCACAGGTTGAGAACCACTGGTCTAGCCCAAGCTGCAAGCAACCGAAGTCAAAAGCACTATTTTAAGCTGATTGTAAACAGCATGTTTGAATCTGGGTAAGAACATCGATTTTCTCTATCCTACTTATCAACTGGAAATGTTTTAGATATCTAATTTAATTTCCTCTTCTTTAAGCTAGCCTTGGTTGAATGTTTTCTCTTATGTCCATTATTCAGATATGAACGCTTGGAAGAGCAGCTTAATGACCTGACTGAGCTTCATCAGAATGAGATGACCAATCTGAAACAGGAGCTGGCCAGCATGGAAGAAAAGGTGGCTTACCAGTCCTACGAAAGGGCCAGGGACATTCAGGTACAGACTTACATGGGATGCTTATGTGGTTGGTCCAACAACCAGTTCTACACACACACAGAGGCATAATTCTGTATGAATTAACTGCACATGTCCTCTGACCATTTCAAAAGTGTATAGTAACTATACAAATCTCAGGTGGCATGCTACATCGGCAGTACTTGCAACCAAGTCTTTTGACTGAAACTATGAGAAATATCCTCAAAGAGTTTTCTGAATATGGCTGTCTGGAGATGAAAAAGATAAATGGTATGAGAAAAAAAAACGCATATTTATCCAAGGAGAAAATGAATTAGACAAAATCTTCTCAAACTTGCCAACTTTAAGATATGTGGATCTTAAACTTCCAGAATTCCACAGTCAGCATGCCAAGTTTGAGAAACGTTGAATTAGACCCACATCTAAAGAACAAAGTTTTTGTGGGATTTAACTTTATTTTATTATGCTACAATAAATTATCTTCTTTTGCCAGGTTGTGGAAAGGTCATAATTAGAGGAAAAGCAGACAATCCCAGTTGAATTCCTGAAGCCGGGAAAAAATCCTGGGTGAAATCCTCAGGAATCATGGCATGTAATATCGAGCTGATAATAATGATGAACCATTATCTGACAGTATAAGGCCCCTTCCTTCTACTTCCCCTACCTCTTCTTAAGCTCTTTATAAGTTAGCAGAAAAAATGTTGCTGTGAAAATTGTAAAAAGATGGGGTGAAAGAGCAAATAGGAGCTTACTTCATTATCCCATGGTAGAAACAAAAGCAAAAGTGTTGGTATGAAGATAATTTCAATACACGTATCAACAGAGGAAAATATTTGTTGGGTTGAAATTAGGGATCCTTGGAGTTCTCCAAGCTTGATTATTTTCTTGTAGACATTTCATTACCCAAGCAAGGTAACATCATCAGTGCAGTGATATGGATATAGAGTTGATATTCCATTCCTCTTTTCTCTGTATTGTGCTTCATTGCACCTTGCTGCTGTTTTCTTTCTGTGTAAATAATATATAATCTGATGTATATATTATTACTTTATAAATTACATAAAGTTGCAAGTAATTGAGAATTGTATTCCCAATATGTGTTGTTCTGCCCCCATGTGGTAATTCAAGGAACATCTCAGACTGATCAAAATATTTTAAGCAAATAAATAAGTAAAAGAACAGACATATTTAAGGAGATAGTGCACATTTCATGGATGAAAGCCTCTATTTTTTCTTACATGTTTTAAAAAGATTCATCAGAATTTTTAAGGAAGTGCATCTTTTTTAAAATACTTCAAAAGAAGTGCATCTTCTTCTTTTCATTGCTGTGAGATATTACCATCCTATTCCTTTGATTCAGCAGCAGTTCTGGGGAGGTTTTTTCATGCATGCACGGGCATGTTCGGAGAATCAGGGAAAGGCTACACAAGCCTTTGAGAGATGCAGCTACCTTAACATTTCAAACTGTGATTTTAGAGGGCCTCTCTGAATGCTGTATATAACCATGTCAAGTATCTTCCACAAGTTATTCTAATCTTTTTCCATCCTCTCATGTATACTAATCAAACATCTGAAAAAGAAATCTCATTGTTCAGACAACTAAGACAATTGCTTCTATCTGATATGGGATACTGATAAGAGAAGGAGTCATGGGAAGGCAGTGGAACATGCTCTGAGTGTCTCTGAGTAATACTGTTATATGTATTGTAGAACCCTGCACAGGGACAACAACAACTTTATTGTCACTTTGAATGTACACCAATCGGCATACATCAAAATGAAATTTCATTGCACACAGCTCTCAAAGTGTCACACCTCCGATATACACTCCTTGTTTGTGGCCAGCTCAAGTTTCAAAATGTCCATTTTAGTTTCTAGGGAGCAAAGGATGGCAAACAGGACAGATGGAGATGGAGCTCCATGTGGCTTAGTCCTCAAATTAGCTTGTATTCCTGTAGGACAACCTCTCCTCCTTTCCTTTTTCTGATCCTGTCTCTTCCACCTTTTCCTTAAAGGGGCCTCGCTCCTTTTTGCCCTTGGAGCACTCTGACGCTGCCAACTCCTCCAAATGCCTCTCTCTCTTCCTCTGGGCCTGTTGACAGCCTCATCCAGTTCCTTTGCTCCATAAGCCCTGGGACCTCTCCCCCTCTGCCTCCTTTGGAAACAGCCCTGATTTGCAATGGAATCCGTTGCTGGTCCAGCAGTCAGATCTTGCTGCTTAGTCCCACCACATTGTTCAAACACATTAAAACCTTCCTGATCATGTGGCCTATATCCCTTATATCCCTCCAAAACCTTTTCATCTTCGAGAGCCAATGCAGCTGCAGCTGATCCAGGTGCCGCCATCTTAGAAATGCCAACATGAACTCCAATGCCATATGGTGTACAGCAGTGACATTCACCATAAGGAAAGCCAACACTCTCTCTTCACTTGACCATCTAAAAAGATGTGTTAATTACATGCATTTCTTATACTTGTGTGAGGCTTATGGTAGTTTCCTGTCCATATCCTATCCACCTATCCACTGGTGATGCAGCTCATTTTCAAGTTAACATTTTAGTATTATCTTCAGTTGTGGAAATTCCTAGTGTGACTAATTCTGTGGGTCACATCAGAATGTCATAACAGAAAGTATCACAATATTATAGTTGTTCAATTTACACGGTGCCAGAACATTGTGTAATTTGTTGGTTTTCCTTGAAGGAGATGCACCATTTCAATAGATTTGATTTATGTTAGACCACTAGACAATGAATCCATTTATCTTAATATTGACTCTTCTGTCTTTTAGTGCCTTTCTATAGGCCCAATTACGAATTTACCAACTAACGGGTTACTATAACTGGATACAATGAACTGAATATAATGATCATTTTACTATAGCTAGGTGAAATAAGCACGCAAAACTTATTGCTAAGTTATTGCTTAATCTCTCAACTACATTAACTTTGATTCCTTCTTTTTTTTTCCACAGGAAGCTGTGGAGTCCTGCCTAACTCGGGTCACCAAGTTAGAGCTGCAGCAACAGCAACAGCAAGTGGTGCAACTAGAAGGAGTGGAAAACGCTAATGCCCGTGCTCTACTGGGAAAATTCATCAATGTCATCTTGGCCTTAATGGCCGTGCTGCTGGTGTTTGTCTCCACCATTGCTAGTTTCATCACTCCATTGGTGAAGACCCGCATGCGTCTCCTGAGCACTACCTTACTAGTGCTTTTTGTCTTCCTCCTCTGGAAGCACTGGGACTCCATCACTTATCTTCTGGAACATGTGCTGCTGCCTAGCTGATTTTTTTGGTAGTCAGTTGCTGCGGCTAGAAGGAGTTTGTTTCTTGTAGAAAGGAAGTAAAACTGAGGCAACTTCCAGTTGGTTTTATGTCCATTTGGAGTGTGCAATTCTCACTTGCTTCCTCTTCAGAGCCTTCTGTTGTTGTACCCAACATTGTCTCAGCTGTAGGAAGAATAATTACAGTGGGGCTTATGAAAGGCTTACTATGTCACACCTCTCTTCTGGAATGCTTTTGCAAGGCAGAATGGGAAGACAAATAACCCCCATAAAGAGCTCAATATTTCAGATTTTATCCATTCCTTAAATCAGATAAAGAGATGGTGATGATGAGGACAGTAGTTCATGTACAATCAAAATGGTCTTCTCTAAAAAGCAGTGGCGTAGTTATTGATTTTCTTCTGTGTTGGAGAGAAATGATGGAACATTTTATCAATGTAGTCATTTATGAAAACAAAGACAAAGATTCAACACTGAACTTCTTTTTCTTTTTATAACTCATGAACCTGAAACAATCCAAGGATTGTACATACAACACAAGATAATTCAGGTCACAACATGGAGCGTACTTTCCTTTCCCATAAGACAACTGAATTCCACATATTTGGCTGGACTGCTTCATGTCATGGATTTGTTGTCCTTGTGGGTTGGTTTATGAACAATAACAACAGGATCTGAGGAGAAAGCATTAAGCTTTCTGATGCAAACTCAACTGTTTTGGTTGGCTTTGTTTTCATTTGTTTTCCTTTTCTTTGATATTTCCATGGACTTTAAAAATACTTATAACCTTTACAAGTGTGTGTGTGGGTGTGTGTAAGTGTGCATGTGTTAATTTATTGATTTCAGAGATTTTTTTTTTAAATCAAGCATTAGTAAGAAGTCACCTGCCTTCACTTGATGGAGGGCTTTAACATGCTCCAATAGCAATAAACCCTCAATCTGCACAAAATGAATGAGCCACCACTTGAATTTGACAGTGTTCATTAACTAGGAACAGTAGATAATTTGTCCAACTGTCACTGGAGACTTTGGAGAAATCATATTCTTTGATAGACATTTTCTCATGAAAGGGTAAGCATCTGATATACATCATCTGGTCCGGGGATAGTTCTCCAGTACTTATTTAAAGATAGCAATTGTTGCAACTCATTTGATGCCATTTTTTTTCTACTGAAACTATCAGATCATGGTATATTGTAAGTTGAAAGCTTAAATTGTATTGATTTAACTAGGGAGTTTATGCCAGATGATATATTTAGCATCTGCTCTTATTCTGCTCTCATATACTTGCTCTTTTGGGCAATAGAGAGACTTAATTGTATATTAGGGTTAAAAGGCTGGAATCTAAAATATCTAACAGAATGAAATAGGAGAGTCCTGAGAGAGTGGACACTTCAGACTCATGGCACGGCTATCCTCATTCTCTTTTACCACTTTATTCTGTTGCATGTGTAGACATTGTCTGAAAACCGTAAGTGTTTATTTTGCACTTACAAGAACTTTGAACAGCCCTTGTAGATAGGAAAATGAAAGGTAGTGTTGCCATCTGTGTAGATATGCTCATCTACAAGTGAGCAAGGTAGAAGGGGAGATGTATTCTGTATAACACAGGGAAATTATGAAAGTATAATGTTTGCAATAGCTGCTTCCATTATTCAGCATAAATAAGGGTTCATCTGTTTGACTTCATTCTCCTTAGGACTAAATAACTTCACCCTATCAGAACAATGATTTTATTCTCTCTTCACTGGTCTGCTTTCCTATAACCATACTGCACACTTGCTCTTTAGTACGCAAAACATTCCTGGATTCTTTTTGGTAAAATATCTACCGGGAATAATTCTAGACAAAATAACAATCATCCTGGTTCAGCTCTGAGCACCTGCATTTTACTCACTGATAGCACTTGGAAATGGGAAAGTCATTCTACTTAAAGCAGCTGAGACCAAAAAGGGCCCACATGTTTGAATAGCATCATGTAATTTTGGCCTGAGGCTGATTCTTTTCCCTGTAGAGACCTACGTGTTGATTTTTCCTAAGTACCTTTTTTTCTAAAGACAAAACACCCTCAAACGTAAGCATCAGTCTGCCCTTAATAAGCCCTGGAGATGTGAAGAACCCAACCTTCAAGTAGGCATCTTGATTTGTATATTTTCTTGAAGAAGTCTGAAAATCAGTACATATGTTGTCATCAGTTACAGAAGGATCTGGTTTTATACTGTAATTTGAATGGGTAACAGATTAAATGATGTTAGGATGAATGCTGAATGAGGTAGAAAGGAGATGTTGATGACAAAAGTGGTGTCCTGGACGATAAAATAAAACAAATGTTGGCCACTATCAGTGGTGAAAGTGTAATTGTGCAGGATTGGACCTTTCATCGGTGATTCTTATTTTGCACGGTTCCTGACTTCTCCCTGTCAGTAAATGACAGTGTGAACCGGAAAGCGAAGTTGCTTTATTAAAGGACGTTCGTGGTGCTGTTTTTAGGTGCTGTTCTTTGCTTTCAACAGCAATAGGAGAGTATAATATTTGGATTTTTTGTCTCTTACTTCTATTCTCCATTCCATTTTCCTCCCCTCCTCTAGTGTCTATTGGCCTGTATATGCCATATACACATTAGATGGTATATATTTTGATTGGAATGTTTGAAATAGCAAGTTTAAGTATAAATTGGTGGGAGAAAAGCTGGTGATCATTTCAAGCTTGGATGGGAAAAAAAGCAAACAATCGATTGCCATAATTCTTTGTGGCCTTAGATTGCATAGTTCATGTACCAACCCAGATTCAGCTGACTCAAAAGTACTGGGTTTTTTTCTCCCTTCGCTCCCTAGGTGTGGCATTGGCCACATACTGAGCCTAAATTTCTGCCTCTTTAGGATAGATCCTTGTATGCTGTGAAAATGATTCAGAAGAACTACTTTGGGCCTCAGGCAAGCACACTTCTTTTCTGTTCATTAAAACAGCCCCCCTTTGCAGGCTTCTGAAGAGACAGCTCCTTTAGTCACCCCGTTAATGGGATGAATTCACTTCTTGAAGCTGCTTTGAGGAATAGGAAAAACTGCTGTGCTCTGCAGAGATATGCTCTCCCTCTGAATATTTTTGAAGCATACTTTACCCTAGTTTAGGAGTCTTATCACACCATCAGTTATACCATTATATATTTAAATATATGTATGGAGGATTCTCATGATACTCTATGTTAAAATCTAAATCTCACCCTCAGGCATAGTCCTTTTCTGAAAATGATTGACTGTATTTATTATGTATGCTTGAATCTTTCCCACCCACCCCTCTCGCCCCATACTATAATATATTTCTTTTTCAGTAGGAGCCCCAGGCAAGCCCTGCAGGTTTGGATTAATTTACTGTGCTTTTTCATTTATTTATTTATTTTTTTCAAATAAAATGAGATTCAAAACTTTGGCATAAGAAAAGTGCTTTATTAAGCCTGTTAGTGCCATTATTTACAAGGAAAGAAATACATAGCAATTTACTGAATGATGTGTGGGCAAAAAGTTAGCCACAATCTTTTAGACAAGCAGTCTCCAAACTTGCTAACTTGAAGATTGGTGGCTGAGGAATTTGAGGAGTTGAAGTCCACAACTCTTAAAGTTGCCAGGTTTGAACACTCCTGTTCTAGAACAGAGTTTCTTAAACCTGGAAATTTTGAGATGTGTGGATTTCAATTCCTGGAAATTCCCAGCTGGTATGTTTAACTTTTCCCAGGCTGAGGATAGCTGGGCATAACATATCGGCTGTTAGATATTTTGCTGGTTCCCAAGTGCCCTGTTGGGGCAACCCAACATTAACTTCAGCCTGAAACTCCATGTCCCTTATTTTTTGGATGAGCAGTTGTTTGGTATTCTGGAAGATAAGATTCTTGCCTGGCAGACGATCTTTGTTTCTGCAGAAAAAGCATGTTTGCTGAGCAATATTCAGAAGCACAAGAATGGCCAAACCAAATTTCTAGTGCAATGGTTCTCAACCTTTTTATACGGCGACCCCGGTCATAAGCAGGCGGCGCGCATGCGTAGCGCTGCCCCCTGCGTGGCACGCATGTGTGGCGCCGCCCCCTGTGCGGCGTGCATGCGTGGTGCCCCCCCTGCACGGCGCGCATGCACAGCGCCCCCCTGCACGGCGCTGCCCCCATGCGCCGCCCCTGCATGGCGGCACCTCCTGCACTGCCCCGTGTGGCGCGCATGCGCGGCAGCGCCCCCTGTGTGGCGCGCATGTGCGACGTCACCCCCTGTGTGACGCGCATGCTGACAAAAAAAATGGCAGATCGCGTTGTTTGGCGACCCCCGTGAAATGGTCGTTCGACCCCAAATGGGGTCGCGACCCACAGGTTGAGAACCGCTGTTCTAGTGTATCCCAGAAGAGCAGGTCTTCAGTCTTTGCACAAGACATCGTCCTTCGGCAGAGTTAGCTAAACCAGGACTTGGTATTTACAATGGATAATTTGCTTAAAGAAAGTTCTCCCTTACCTAGAGAAGGTGGAACTTCTGTGGTAAAATGGGGTTCAGACCTGCTTGCTGAGAGATGAATGTGGAATAACGAATCTGTGGAAGAAGGAATGCACAGAAGATGATGGACTGCAATTATCAGGATAAGAACTGATAGGTATAAATTGTAATGAAGCAGATTTTGGATAAACATCAGGAGAGAATGCCGTGTAGTGAGATCTGTTCAATTGTAGAATGGCTGCCTTAGAAGTGGCAGGTGTTTTTTTTGCTGATGGTGTTTCAGCTATGGTTGAACAGCAATGGATCAGCAGCATTATAGCTACATTGCAGATCCTCTATTAGGCAAGGAATTAAATTATCTCCAGTGCCACTTCCAACTCAACAAATCTATTATTTAAGAAGAGCTACTGCTGAGGGTTCCATGAAGGCTTATATTTTTTAAAAATGGGATGCCCCAGTTTAAGAGAGGCTCATTTCTAATCACTCCATTTCTGAGTATAAATCTGCACTCATTCACCTTTGGTATTCACCTGCCTATGACTTGACTCCGAATATTTGTTAAAGACTCTCTTTGCATTTTCTACCAATTAATACTGAATACTAATTCTCTTCCTGCTCCTTGTATACTTTGAATTCTTTATTTAAGATTTTTATATATAGAATTCTGTTATGTAAGCAGTGAATTTTTTTTTATCATTCCTACCTAGTGATGATTCTTTACTCACTATTAGATTAAATATGATGGCATAGGAGAATGGAAGAAGGTCAGCCTCCTGAAAGAAGTCTCAAATGCTAGATTTAGTGCAAGCAATCTGCTACCAGAAGCATTTTGTCTATTTATAAAGCCCCAGAAAGTGATAGGTCCTGCTAATCTCAGGCTGGGGATCACTCAGTGCATTTGAATCTAGCTGAGACACTCTATCAGAGTGAAATTCAAACCCAAAGAGCAAAACAATTTGCACATTAATGATTCAAAGAGAATTAGAGCTTTGCTATTGAAAGTACTTAATATCACTATCTTTGTAAGAGCCTTCAGAATGGACAATAAACATTCCCTTTGTTTCCTAGGGATCAATCTAACATTTTCAGTCAATTAATTTACAAAGACAAAAGACTCAAAGGCAACTTGAAGCAGAAAGAGTAGAAAATGCACCTTACAATAATGAGAGATAATGTCTTCAGTATAGTGGACCATTATAGAACAAAATAGAATTTGGGCCCATATAATTTGCAGATCCTTGGTTCCAGCTTAAAAGGAAGGCAGACACACAAGAGCAGTGCCAATCTCCCACCTAGAATTAAAAGAACAATAGAGGTTACGTTACAGTGATTGCTGTCACACATCAGTCTTCATTAAAGGGGTTCTCGGCACTCCTATTCCTTGGAAAAATCCTCTTTCCTCACATGGGTATTGACTGGAATTTCATGAAGGTATTTGGATTTGTAGCCCATGCTATCTTTTTGATGACAATATATATTAGAGCAAAGGACAAAAATCAGTAAAATATGAAAGGAGAGGTGACTGCACAGACTAAAAGTATCTCAACTGCCATCAATACCATCATTAGTTCCTAGCACTGATAGCTAGATTGGTCACGGTTTAACTTATTAAGGCAATAGCCAACAGCTAAAAATATTGAGTCAGATAGTGGGCTTGTATTGTTTTTGGAATTCTCCATGTGCATTGGCTGCAAAAGGATTCTTTTATACATCAAAATCAGTACTTGAAGTTTTGTCCTGGACCCCAAATGGGAGAAAGTCAGATTAAGCCAGGATTATCTGGATTATGATTCACATTGTCATCAGGCAGAAGGATTTACTGTTCTGCTTAAGCTTTCACATCCAATCCACTTTCAAGGACAACTTGGTGTACACATATTGCAAGGACAATCACAAACCTGAATAATAAAGACAAATGTGCAATCGTCAAAACATTTGTGAGTGTGTTTATATATTTATTGCTGGGCAGCTTCTTCAGTCAATATTCACTCTAAACAGTTTATATATCTAATATCCATAAATAAGATTAGAACATAGTAACAAATCATTTCTAAGTAACTTTCAATTATGCACCAAAGAATATTAAAATCCTGTCAAACAAATACTTTACTGTAAAAAGAAGCAATGCCATTATCCTGTATATCCCCACAAAGCTGGTTGAAAAGTCAGGTTTTGGTTGACTGATTGATCAATCTAGTCAGTGTTGATACTTAGCAATCACACTGATTGACCCTTGCCTTGTTGATCTGTCCCCAACCTGTTCCTTTAGTCTTTCAACAGTGCACACATCACCACTGCAACCAAGTCCATCCGTTCTGCTGCTTGTCATCGCTTCTCTTTTTCTCCACCTATCCCAGCATCAGAGAGATCCAGGAAACTAGAAGGAAGCTTCAAACATGTGTTTGAAGTAGGATAACTTGAGCCTGGTCATTTGTGCCTATAGTGAGAACTCTGGGTTGATTTGGAGAATGGCCCATTTATTTGTTTCCTTAGCTGTCCACTATATTTTCAGGAGTGTTCTCCAACACCAAAGTGCCAATACTCTTCCTATCCTGCTTTTTCAAAGCCCCAAGTTTCTCTTCCATAGAATGTCACAGGAAATACCATGGCTTGAACTATTTTGATCTTTGTAGGTATAGACACACCACAGCAACTTTTCCAAGGCCTTCATGCTGTGTTATCAAATCTTAGACTGTGATATGTTTCTTAATTTCTTGTTCCTTTACTGTTGAAGGTTGGTCCTAGAATGCAGAACTTATCACTTCAATATCTTAATTCTCAGTTCTAAGGTTGCTTGTTGTATGTTGTCATTAGTTTTCTTTATATATAATTTTAGTCTCAATGTTTTCACTGTACTCCTTGACTTTTATTACTAAAGCTTGCAGATCCTTTGCATTGTAAGCTGCCTGGTATCACTGAGAGTGAGTTGGCGGCCATAAAAATTTTCATAAATAAGTTTTGAACCATCAGAGTAGTGTCATCAGCATAGCATAAGTTATTGATGTTTTCTCCTCCAATTTTAAAACCACATTTACTATTTCTATTCTAACTTATTTTAATATACAGTACATTCAGGATATAGGTTGAATAAATAAGGGAATAATATACAATCTTTTTGCATTCCTTTGCCAACCTGGATCCAGTCTGTTTTGCCATGTTCTGCCAATAGTGAGGCTTCCTGATCTATATAAGCGTTTCTCATAAAGACAATGAGATGTTCTGGGATTCTCATATGTGTAAATACTTTCCACATCTTCAAGTGAATACAGTCAAAAGCCTTTCTAATAATCAATAAAGCCTATAGTGATTTCTTTTTGGTGTTATTTAGCTTTCAGGATTATCCAGCATGCTTTACAAACAATGCCTTATATTTATTTGCCTTTCAAAAGCCAACCTGAACATCTGGCATCTCTTTTTCCATGCAGGACTCTAATCTGCATTGGATGATCCTAAGTATTATTTTGGTAGCATGTAAAATTAAGGACACTGTATAATAGTTTGCACATAGTTAAATCTCCCTTTTGAGTACAGTATTGGAATGTAGATTGACCTGTAGATTGACCTCTTCCATTCAGTTCCATTGTGTTGTTCTCCAGATTGGATGATGTAGTTCAGTTAGACCCTTTACTGATTCTTCTTCCATTATCTGCAGTATTTCTGTGGATATTTCATTAGTTCCTGTAGCCTTCTGACTTTATGACTGGAATCCTGATAAAACTTCATCTTCTGGTACTAGAGGTTCTTGTAAATAGGGAATATCTTCTATGGCAGGGGTGTCAAACTGCCAGCTGGATGTGTCATGGTGAAATTCCCCACCCCATTGCCGGCAATGGAAAAAATGTCGCAATATGTTGCGACACGTCACATGACATTGCAAGTTTGACACCCTGTTCTATGGTATCTTGAACATCCAGATGTTAATGTCTGTCTTACATCCCAGTAGAATTGGGACCACCTGGATCTGAAGAGGAATGCAGTTTCATAGAGCTAACCTCCATGGTCCTTTTCCCAGAACAGTCCCAGAGAGGCTCCACTTTTCCTGATCTTATTTGATGGGCAAATAAAAAAGGAATTGGTGGTCCAAAGTTACATAAAACAGCAAAGAAAGCTACATAACCAGCAAATAAAGCTACTTATATTTTATGAATGAACTTGCCAATTATGACTAAAAGGTTTCACTCAAAGTTTCAAATGCATTTTGGGAAGTACTGGAATCTTAACCTGAATGATGATAGGCAGTGCTTTTTTTGAAAAAAAAAAAGGTGCCGGAACTCACACATGTCATACAACCTGCCTTGCCTACCCTACAAGGTTCCATCAAAAAAAGGTGCCGGAACTCCGTTCTGGGCATTCTATGACAAAAAAAAGCCCTGATGATAGGTATCCGAATTTAGTACTTTCATACACCACTGCAGATGCAGCTTTAACCTAGTTCCATGGCCAATTATAGCTGCCAAGATTTCTGTAAAGCAACCTGAGTCAAAAGAGACTGAAAGGGTTTTTAAATTGGTTATATTTAACTGAGGTAATCTATTTTCTGTGCTAATACAATATACTGAACCATAAATTAAAAATGAGCTGACTTTGTAATCAGGCTGAGCCACAAAAAAAACTACTTTAGATTTTAATCAATTAAACTTAGAATAATAGGAAAATGCATCTGTTAAATGTTCTGTGTGTGAACACAGCAATGTATTGTTAAACTTTTTCCAAGTCAGAAAGGAACCATTCACCCTCTCTCACACCCCCAAGCTTCTCCCAGATGACTGGATGCACACTACATACAGTATTTGTCTTTTTTGAATATTATGATTCATACATGCGCATATGTATACAATAGGTTATGAATGGCAGTGGTTCTATTTTCACAAATGTGTCTAGAAGCAAATGATTTCATGAGTTTTCAAGTCTGCTTATGAAAGTGAATATGCTATTTAGAATGTACCTCTTTATACTGATGAAAGAACCACATTATTGCAGTCAGTATGTCTGAAACACACTGAAACAGTCTAATATAAACCAATATAAAGTACAAAAAGAAAAAATAAATCAAAGAGAAATCTAAAAATACAAGAAAGTAAAAGAGAAAAAGAAAAATAGGAAAAGAAAAAAAAGGAAGTAGCTTCCAATTTTCTTTACAGCATTTATAAATGCAACTATAAATTTACCTCTTATTTTATGGATACAATATACCTCTCTTCTTTCCACAATCTATCCTCTCTAATCATCAATACCATAAGTCACAAGTTATTTTTTTTTCTGTTTTATGCAAAAAGTCCAAAAGGAGTTTCCAGTCTGCAATAAACATACCGGTAGATATAAGATATTTTCTCTTATCAAAGAAGTGAAACCTGAATATTTGCACTTTTCTTGGTAGCAGGAGTTGAGAACTAAAATATATCCTGTGTTTTATTTTTTAAAAAAAGAGATTTCAGATTTCAGGCCTGCATGGACATCAAGAAGTCTCACAGGACTTCTAAACTATCTCAGGTTCTCTTCCATCAGCACCAGAAATGAAACATGAATGGATGTCAGTAACTTCCTTATTTGTATCTCTTGCCTCTCCAGAATTGTAACCTGAGACTAACTTCATCAGTTGCTATTTCTCAGCCAGTTGGAACTAGTTACGTGTGGGTCCTGGTTTTCCCAAGTCAAGCTGCTAACTTAAATTCATGCTGATGTTAATTTCTCCTAAAGAATGTGGAAAGTTGAATGTTATATCTAGTTCTGATTCCTTACAATGGCTAAAATATAAGCACAGTCATTCATCCCTTAAAAGTTAAAATTCATTTGGAATTCACTGCAGCATCCAAAATATTTGTTTAGTAGGCTACAGTCAATGTTACAGGAATAACTTTCTGCTGTTCCACCCTTCTCATGCACTTACCTGCTCTAGATGGTTTTTCAGTTTTCTGGAGCAGAATTTAGAAACACTAGGGATGGGGAATTTAATCTCTTAATTTCATGCACCTTAGTAGCAGAAAGTAAAATATCCCAAGAGCTCTCTTTGTGTTCTTTAGCCACCGAAAACTCACTAAAACTATTGTTAGGGGTAGAGAATATTTTTGTCTTTTCGTCTTTCTAATAATTGTTAAGTAAGAGATCCACTGACAACTACAGGTATGTTCCTCTGCCATCAGTTCTTCACTTGGCTTTAGATATCTAGGGACATTGTTAATGAAGGAACTGAACCAAAGACAGAAGGGGAAAAAGGAGGATCTGACTTTCAATTACTTATGTTTCCTGCCACTTTGGAGTAGGTTCCAAAACAGAATTCCTGTTGAGGAATTTA